GGGTGGAGAGCAAAGAATTCTTGGCTTTAAGTAACAGTGAGGCTTTCCAAGAGTGCATCCCCAGAGAGTGCAGGTGGGAGAAACAGGAAAATGGGATTCAAAAGCTCTGCACTTGTTCTACTCTGTTCGCTCTCCTTTATTGCTTTTGCCATCTGTCCATCTGCTCCCAAGGAGGTGATGTTGTGTTTCCCTGCTTCATTGCTTTAACAGAGGTTTCTCTGTTGCATTTGTTCTTTGGATCCCCAGAAGAGAAGAATGCAGAGAAACCTGTCAAGGCTGAAAAGCCTGCAATTTGACCTTTAAATCTTGTTTGCAGACATCTCCATTCTGTTGCCCAAACAAGCGATATCGCTTGGCGCCAAGGAACACAGAATTATGTGGTTGATGGGCAGTGGATTTTTGATGCCTCCCTTCACAAGCAAGTCCTGTTTGCTGTGGGTGGAGTGTGCAAAACACTTCACATGCGGTGAGAGTTGATAACAGACACAAATATACATGAGTCCAGATATTAAAAAGGGATTTGCATTGCAGATGCCTGACTGAGGCAATACAAAATCCTCAAAACCCAGCTTTACAGGGCCTAGGTATTCAGTGTTCCCTGCAAACCAGAATACCTCGTGGTGCATGGGACATTAAAGCATGGGACATTAAAGAACTAATAATCCCTTTGAAAACAGTTTCATGGGTTTCTAAACTCACCCCAATTTCCCTTTCCCATGTCACTCTGGAGCAATTTTTGTAATTGCCCTGTTGCAAAAAAAGCTGCAGCCTGATACAGGTGCTTGGAGCAAGGCAGCATGAGACCTGCGGATCACTTGTGTCTCAGCTACCTGAACTCTCATGCAAGCTTAGCACCATATCCAAAGTTGTTAATTCTGCCTTTCGAACCTATCTGTCTGCTGCACCCTCAAACTTGCACTTCTGCTGCTCAGAACTGATCCCAACTCATAGTCCTCTGTGCTGGCCACTTCTGCTCACTCGACATTTGTGATACTCGGGCGTTTTGGTTCTCTGTTATCCGTGAGGAGGTGAAAGCACGGCCATGGTAATAGATTATCTTGCTGATTTTGCAAGTCTGAGCGAAAACATTGTTCCTGAAAAACAGACAGTCTCTTGTGTCCTGGCTCGGCAATGCAATTAGGCTCGCCTGTTCCTTACCAAATCTTGTTAGCAAAAAATGATCCTAGCGTGCAGCAGATGTTGTGTCTCATCTGGCTGTTTCCTCCCTTAGCTTATTCTCTTCTCTGCTTCAGGCTCGACATGATCCAGATCCCAAAAGAATCCAAAAGTTCAGAAATCTGCAATAGGAAATATTTACAATAAGGCAGTCACCAATTATAAAGCCAATTAGAGGGTGATTCACTCAGTACTGCCCAATGTGAAATTGGACTAGCAGGAGAAAACAAGGATGATCGTTTCTGATTTAATTGCATTTGGAAAGAAAATGTGTGTGTTGAGGGAAAGAGTAGTAGAGTGGAGGGAAAGCCTGTGTGCTTTTCTATGGGAGGCAAAATATTGCTGAGTGCAAAGTAACTGCACTGACCGGGTCTTACTTCCCCTGATGGACTTGGGTTACTGCTGAGCCAGATGGAGTGAACCGACACAGATCTGCTCCAGATGGTCGCTGTACTCGTGTAAGCTGGTCTTGATACCTTTACAATCCTTTCCTTGAGAGGAATCTCAAAGTCCTCCCCAAGGCCTGGCTCTTGCTTGCAGCTCTGTCCCCTAACCCTCACAGAAAGGATGATGTGGAAAGGAGGAGATGAATCACCACAAGCTCAAGTCACTAGTTTGGCCCTCCCTGTGTTACCATGTTATACTCTTCCGTAGGAGTAACCACATAGGCCTTTCCTAAGTTACATTTTCTTGCCTGAAGCCCAGCAGCTACTTCAACAGACACTTTTAGTAAAGTCAAATCTGCTCTAATGCTGTCTATGTCTCTTTGAGATACTCTAATCCAGGTTATCCTTTGGAGTGAGCAGATACTGCTCTCTTGGCCAAGACTGAGCTGAAAGCAATACAGTAAAGATTTATTCTTTGCAGCCATAGCTCTCTACTGTCCTGTTGCATATTCCTTGCTCTTGAAAGTCTGTGTCCAGCCTAGGAGCACCATGACTCAGGATCCAGTTGCAGGGAGAGGAAAGACAGAGTGAATTCAGTATTTGTTGAAACCTCATGTACTGGGGTGCAGTTCGAGCTGTCTCTGAGGTGGCTGGAATTTGAACCTAGAAGGCAGCAAGGTGTGTGTGGTTGTGTGTTTCTGTGCTGCCCTCTTTTTGCGGGCCTGTAGCACCATGAGCATGACACAGTGTTTGCTTTTCCGGAGGAATTCCCACCTAGGTAAATGATTCTCTTCTCTTGGTTTCTGTCTCCTGCACAGGAGGAAGGGGGTGAAACCAGGGAGCATATCCTGGTCCTTGATGGTGCTGCATGGTCCATAATGCAGGGAAGCATGGCAGTCCCTGTCTACCCTTCAGGGTGGACTCCTGAAAGGACTCAGTGAGCATTTTGGGACTTGCTCAAGTTGTGTAGTGACCATATTGTGTGTCTGTATGTGGTGCTAGGGTGGTCAGCGTGTAAAGCATCCCTCCTGCTCCACAGCCTGATGTGTCTCCTCAGATGGGCGCCAGATACACAGCATTGTGGGGGAGAGTAGAGAGTAGAGATCGGATCTAAGGATTGTGATTTTTAGGAACCTTTGTGTTCCCAGGAGACTTGCAATTTAGCTGCAACTTGCTGATTGAATATCATGAGAGAATTGGGTTAAAAAGTCTACAGGCGGCTGTGTGTTAAAGCAGGTGTGTGACATTAGCCACAGCCATGCCAGACTAAAAGCCCTTTGAAACTCTACATATAGATTTACCATCCCACCTGAATGGGAAACTACTACTGCAGCATCCAGACAACTGCTTAAATTAATCCTTCAAGGACATTATGCACCTAAGGACACATCTTCATTAGCTGTAAGGGGAGCTGAGTCAACTGAGGAGCATGTTGTGCAGTGGGAGTCTGCCTTGATATGAGCATTTCCATGAGCCTTGGCACCCTCGGTGCTGCCACGGATCTGAGAGAACAGCCTCTAATAACTGCACCTCTCGTCTGTGCCAGGATGACTCTGCTTAGATGAATGCGTAGGGCTTCCCTCTCCTAAAATGAGCAATCACAGAGTTTTCATTTGCAAACTCTTGCCTGATGAGACAAGCACTCACAGCTAACCAGCAGCCGTGCTCCCAGGAAAGGTCCTTGAGCATCTGGCACCCTTTACCTGGCACTGATTTCTGCAAAGGAGGATGTGGTTTTCATACTTTGGTTCTCCTCTGTCTAGGTAAGCACTGAGGGACTCCCTTTTGCCACTGCAGATTCACCCAAGGGTAGAAAAGCAGCCACGGTCCTTGAATGGGGAAAACCCAGTGCCTCTGCCCAGCACGGCAGGAATGATACAAGATGATTTTGCAGATGTATCCCCTGCTGCTTCCTCAGCAGTATGAAACCAGAGTTAGACACCAGAGGTCTTTTTCCATCCCTCTCTGCACTCAGGGATGCTGGAAAGCGCCGGTGCCGCTTGGATTTGGTGGCTGTTGGACTGCCTCCCTCTAGTGCTAACCCTGATCTCCTGCAACTCCTCTCTCTGGGAAGGAAGTAGTCTTCCCCATCTCACTTTTGAACATTGCACGTGTCCAGATGAAACCCAGGTTAATTTTTGGGGGGTATGGTACAGACTGAAAGGAGACAGAACTAGATAGGAATGCCACACGATGCTCATGAAGCAGTGATTCCTGTTCCTCTCCATTATGAACTGAGGAAACACAATTATTAACATGCAAGGACTGTGGGGAAATGTTACTTTGGGTGCAGCAGCCAATGTGAAAAATCAGGAAAAGGGAAAGAAAGAATTGTTTCAGCACTAAGCAAAAGCCTGCCTTTCCTTTGGCACCCAAATTAAATATAACAGCAACATGGAAGAGATTCTTTCAACTCTTTCAGTGTCCCATCTGCTCCCTCACTTCAGCTGGACATGCCCTTCCAAACTGAATTGATTAAGAGAAAATAACAATAATAATAAAGTCATGTTTCACATGAACCTTATCCAACACCCTCTGTTATTTAAGTGCTTTCTTGGCAAGCCTGTAAGAGTGGGAAGAAAGGAAGACAGTCTGACGGGAGCTGGGAAGAGGAAAGAAGGGATGAGATCACCTCCTAGCTCCCTCTTAATTTTTCTCCATTCACAATTTATTACATAGTACCTATGTCCAATCCATTCTATCTGTTTGGGTGGCAGGGTGAGCTTTTAATCTTGCTGGTCCAGCCTCAAAGTCTTTGTCTCATCAGAATTCCTCTCTGCACTATGGTGGGATCTGGAGGACAGACCCCCTGGATGAGGACACTTGGTTTTCAGGCATCAGCTTCTCGTGACCATGGCCAAACCCTCAATCTTCACTTAGCTTTCTTGGGTGGACTGTCCCCATGTAGGTGTTATGATCCCTTATCTGACCTCCTAGCTTTCCCTTCTCCCACAGGACTTAATTTCTGTCCTGTGGGAGGACAGAGTGTATTCTGAGTGTATAATCCACAAACCCCAGTGCGGGAGATAGCAGCCTTGGGTGAGAGTCTCAGCTCCAAATACTTTATTACTGGAAATTTTTCAGAGAAAAATGAGGGACAAGAGGAACTTATGAAACAGTCAAAGGATAGGGAGTACTGAAGGACTTAGGACAAATGGCAAAGGATGGACTTAAAAGAGGAGATGGGTCACAAGGGCTGTAATGGTGTGATAATGTACCATTTTCACTGAAGATAATAATAGCCAAGAAAGGCGGATTTGATGCTGGAACAGAATAGCTGCAAGGGCTGTTGGGCAGGTGTCATTTCAGCAGTGATGATACCCATGTCCCAAGGAGAGCCCTAGGCAGGACAGGATCCTTCTGTTGCTGGTGTGATGAGCTAGGCTCATTCCCCCAACTCCTCATTTATTGATGTGTCTCTTTTCTCCTATTCTGCAGGAAATTTGTGATGACCCACGTCTCTTCGTGGATGGGATCAGCTCCCATGACTTACACCAGGGCCAGGTTGGGAACTGTTGGTTCGTGGCTGCCTGCTCCTCCCTGGCATCCCGGGAGTCCCTGTGGCAGAAGGTAAGCAATTCCCTATGCACAAGGGAAGCCTGTGTTCAGCACCTTGGCCTTATATTGTATTTGTCCAGCTTATAAACTGTTTCTTCCAGGACACTTGAGGTCCTAAAAATCTGTTTGCATGCATAAAACCTTCCTTAAATGAGAGTCTTGTGAAGAGAACTGTCAACTGATGTTACTCTAGACACATTACATGCAAGCCAAATTCTTGATCTCAATCAGTTTAACCTCATCAAGCCTTGTACTGCTCCTTCACATCTGAAATCTGACTCCCCGCTCCAGCATAACCATAAAATCAACAAAACAAATAAACAAACAAAAAGTTGAGGATGCTCAGATGCAGCGTTTGGCCCCATTTCTCTAGTTCCCATGGCGTTATCTATCTCTGTCTCTCCATGCTTGTTGTCTGCCTATCTCAGCAATGAGACACCAAACACTGAGGCAGGTAGGGCAATTCAAGGGTAATAGCATCCCTCCCCAGGCATGTCTACCCTGAAGCAAATGTCCCCAGATGGTCAGCCCATGTCTGGACTCTCTTATCCCACAAAAGACTCTTCTTAGTGCATAGGGTCTACAAAGACCATGTGGCTCCACAGTCTCTCTGTGGAGCCAGAAAGCTTCACCCAGTTTCTTACAGCATATATATAGTCATATATATGCTGTATATAGCCTATAGCCCCTCTTACCTAAACCTCTGCATTGGCTCAATGGCCTGTGATACACCCAGTCTCTGCATCATGTGATTTTGTGATCATAAACAGGAAACTCAGCCTTGGGAATTTGTGTTTGTTGCACCATCCCTGTGTTCCATTCAAATTACATTAATTTCTCGTGTTTCCTGACATGAAAAAGGAAGCTATTGGCTTCTGGTTAATCAGTAGAGCTTCTACCTATCTGTGGCTGCTGTGACTATCATGACTCTTGTTCCAAGGATGGTCCATGGCATTGTTCAGTTTGTTCATTCTCACTGCCATCTCTTGATAGCACGTGTGTGAGTTGTCTTCCCTGCTCACCATTCACTTCCAGCTCTGCCCTGGGAAATGCCAGTCAAACAGAAGTTGGGTCCCTTTGGAGACCTCATTATTTCAGTTTGCCAGCTGCACTGATTTTCCTCCCTTGGTAATTTTGCTGTGGATGTTTATGACTTCTCATTTTCCATGCCCTTTACAGGCTCTTTTATATGTGCCTCCTGCATCTTTCTCTCTTTTGGAAAGCCTTGTTTTCAGCCAAATGCAGAAGCTGCAGTCCTCTTCCCAAGTCTTATCTTTGAGTGATGTTCAGTTTGCTGCAGTGCTCACCATAAGCCTATAGTCAGGCAGCACACCCTTATTTTTGGAGACCTCTAAATTAGATGGGATTTTCACTAACAGCCCTGTCAGCTGCACAAGTGTGTTGACCAGCCTGTGCTTATCACACGAGCAAGTTTTACCCACTTACCCCTCTGTGGAGCCCAGGAACAAGCATTTGATTAAAAATACCTCTTCTGGGATAGCATCCAGCTATGTAGAGATGGATGAAGAAGAGTTTCTAGGGGACACTCTCCAATGGTTAGTCCCTCTCATGGACACCAACTGGGATTGTAATCTGTGCCCCACCTCTCCAATGAGTATGATGGGACCTTGGGAAAGATCTTTGGGCCTCAGCTTCCCCTTTGTAAAAAGAGCGCAGTGTCCCCTTTGAGCACTTGTGAAAAACACTGCTCTGCTCCTAACTGATCAATACTCCAATAAAAGTGACAGTCGYGGTGACAGACAAGACAGCAGAACACCAGGTTCTTAAATTGTCATTAGACACCAAAATGTCTCTGATTCAGAGTGCAGGATGAAATGAAATATGCTGATGTATGTGTTAGTATTGCTGAAATATCATCACAGGAATCTTGGCTCAGCTTTCCCATTGATCCTAAAAAATTTAACCCTGAGTTGCAYCACAGTGTAAATTAGTGTGTGTCCCTTGCTCCACTGGGTATAGCAAAATGGTCTCTCTGCTATTAGGGTGAGCATGTGTGAGGAAAGGAATTCCTTCAGGGAGATAGGATGGAGTAGCACATCCTGGTGTACCCCAAGACATCATATCACAGTGCAGTTGGCAAGAGGGACATGGTTTGGTATGGCACCTTTTTGGGGTGCTTGCAACCGCTTGAGGCCACCCAGCACATTGCAAATAGCAGTACTTGCACATCTGTCCCATCTACTGGGCCAGAACTGCCCCAGTACTCCAGGTGCGGCCTCACCAGAGCTGAGTAGAGGGGCAGGATCCCCTCCCTTGACCTGCTGGCAACATCCTCCTGATGCAGGCCAGGATCCCATTGGCCTTCTTGGCCACGAGGGCACTGCTGGCTCATGGTTAACTTCTTGTCAGCCAGGACTCACGTGTCCCTCTCTGTGCAACTGCTCTCCAGCAGGTTCTAACAGTGTCTGGATCCTCCTTCCCAGGAGTGGTAAGGTGAAACCTTTGAGTGATCACCCTTTCAGACTTTTGGCAAGTCCATTCAAGGGCAGGCAAACCTTTGAGGATTCACTGTAGCTTCTTGCTACTGCAGCACTAACGTTAGGCAAGAGTCCTACCAAAACCATCATCCAGAAAAGGAGCAAGGGATCRTGATGGACAAGCCGACCATGAATCAAATGCATGCCCTTGCAGAGGTGAAGATCAGCCACACATTTGGACAAATTTGCAAAAAAAGCACCCAGCAGGACAAGGGAAATGATTCTCTCCCTCTATTTGACATTTGTGTGTCCATGTATGGGCACTGTGCGCAGTTTGGAGGTCCCCAGTAAAAGCCAGTGACAGACCAGGGTGAATTCAGGGCCACCAAGATGATGTAGCCAGGAGAGGGGAAGGTGAAAGGGGGTCTCATTGCTGTCTGCAGCTCCCTAATGGGAAGGGTGCAGAAAACAGATGGAGACTCTTCTTGGACCAAGGACCGAAGTATACATCACAAGGTGTAGTATGGGAAATTCTTGCTATAAAGGGGGGAAGAAAAATAYAGGTGGTCAAACACTGGAACCACAGAGAGGCTGTGTGATCTCCACCCGTGGAGRTATTCACAGCTTGACTGGACAAAGCCTTGCATAACCTGAGCTAGCCTTGAACTAAGCCCTGCTTGGAGCAGAGGCTTGGATCGGAGCCTTGCAGGGGCTCCTTCCACCCTTAGTTACCCTATGAGTCCACATCTAGAGAAAGCCACTGCAACGGAGCCCTGCGAGGTGGTGTCCAGGCTGCATCATCTGCACCTTCCTTTGGGCATGACAAGCCACRCTCCTGCTTGCTGGGGAGTCGTTGTCAGGGAGGTTGCCAGGGCGGCTGACATCAGACATCCCTTCCCTATGGATTACTGTGCGCTGCAGCACAGTCAGTTCCTCATCAGCAAACGAGACGGGGCGGGCTAGAGGAACCCCGGAGGGTGCTTTGCGTCACTGGCCTGGGTTGCCTAGCACTGCTGGGACCGTGGAGAGGGGGCAGCAGCTCTGGGGGCTTTTTTTTCTTCACCCTTGAGTCGCTTGTTTGAGAGCCAAACATTGCTGAGGACTTAGCGGAGGAGACGCCGAGGCGATGGCAGCCAAAGCGGGAGAGCTCAAGGTGCCCTTCATCCGAGATGACCAGCTCACCCGCTGCATGAGGCTGAGAGTCCAGAGCCTACAGCAGAAGAACGAGAAGCCCCAGGATGGGGAGAAGCTGCTGCGTACCAACGAGCACATCTATCGAGTGGATTTCATCCAGCAGCACGACTTGCACTTCCTCCGCTGGGAGATCCAGATGGAGAGACCTGGGAAGGTCACGGTGACTGGTACTTCCCAGCACTGGACTCCTGATCTCACCCACCTTATGAACCGACAGCTGCTTGAGCCAGCAGGCATCTTCTGGAAGAAGCCAGGGGCCAAGGAGGTGGAGTGCAATGAAGCAGATGCCCAGGAATTTGGGGAGCGGCTAGTGGAGCTAGCCAAGATCCGCAAGGTGATGTATTTCCTCTTCACTTTCAGCGACGGTCTTGAACCAGCTCAGCTGAAGGGCTTTGTCGTGTTTAAAGCCTGACCCCCTCTTGCTCATCCCACCTTGCTCTCACTATGTGTTTGTCTTCATTTTTGTTTCTCTTCATTCAGCTCTTGGTTGTTTTTATGTAGTTCATCAAGGGATGGCATTGCAAAAAGGTGGTGAGCAGCCTCACAGTACTGTGGAGATGCTTTCCCCACCTCTCTGCTTTGAAATTTTCCCCTAATATGCTGTTCCMTATCTGAATGATGGGAAAGAGAATGGACCATGAGGGCCTGTTGCTGTAATTGCCTAGAGCACAGAAATGCATGTTTGTGGATTCAGCAGGGAAACAGCAGGTCTGACTGACAGTATCTTCCTGGCATGGAAATGGTAAGACTACCTTGACCCCTTCAACCACCGTACCTGGATATCAAAAGCCTAGTGCAAAAAATAGAAATTTCAACAGTGGAAACACGAGAGGTGACCCGGAGGGAACACTGACTTCCAGTTATCCAGCCTGAAAAACTGAAAGGGGGTCTTGTGAGRGATGCCGTGCTTATCCTTGCAAAGATGATGAGTGCTTGCAGCTTGCAGTGACTGTGGCTGCTCATTGTCTCTGACGACCAGGTCCTTGGGTTGTTTACATTGCTGTGAAGGTGAAGCACCTTCCGACATGCTGTGCTCTGCAGATTGCAAACGAGACGGAGARAAAAACAGCTCATGAAGATTGGAATCTCTTCTTCCTGGCAGCAGCATGTGGTTCTTGCAAGGAGTCAGTGTGGGGAGTTGCTCACCTTGTGCTGCCTGAAGATTTTTGGTGCTGAGATGGATTGGAGCAGGCACCAGGAATATATTTGCTCTTAAGCATTTGTCGTTTTAATGGACTGCATGTGGAGACGTCAATGAAGGGAAAGCAGGGTGAGGTCCCTTCAGTCCCATTGCCTGTAGACTTGCATGGACCACCCCAGAGTTGTATGGCCTCTCCTCAGAGTCTCCAGAGATGCAAACTATATGAGATGCCAGGCAGAGAGAGGAAGACAAGCGGAAGATCAACTACTCACTGGAGTGATGGCAGGAGCTTTGAGTCTGGCCCACAGACAAAGCTCAGCAAGTACGAGGTCACACAGCAATACATGGACACTGCTGAGGAAGTTGGTATCTGTGTTCATTTAGAGACCCTAAAATGCAGAATTCTATGGAGAGAGAAAAACGGATCCATTCCTGCTTGGCCAAAACATGGACTCACAGGAGGCCAAAAACATGAACTCACAGGAGGCCAAACCCAGTTCTGATTTTATTCCAGTCTTTTCTACAGAAGATCTGAGTACATCCTGAGAGCTCCTGACTGCAAACAACACTTGACCGAGGAGCAGAAGTCACTGGAAACCTCCAAAAGGGTTTTCTGCATGCCAGGTCTCACAATGATGTTGCTATTTTGTCGGTTGCTTGAATCGAGTTCGTACTGTGAGTACCTCAGAGGGTATTGATGTACCACATTCAATAAAAGCCTAATCAATAGGGCTCCCCTTAAAGGACTGAAGCTGTGCTTGTCTTACTAATGTCTTTTTTTTTTTTTTTTCTGAAAACTGTCCCAATCCTTCAAACAATAAAGCAAAACTCACCAATTTTCAAGTCATTTGGAATATTTTTAAGTGTCTTTTTTTTTTTTTTTTTTTGCTATTAACAAAACAGAGGATAAAATTAACATTATTCTCTTGTGTTGTGAAAGGCATAGTGGAGCATTTAGCTGTTTGTGTGGTTGTGGAGAGAGTTACAAAGCTGGGAAGAGAAGAGCTGATGGTCCTCAGGCGAATCTAACCTTTCTGTCAGAGCTAGGGGGGGGAAGTGAGTGGGAAACTGTTATTTTGCTCTCTAAAAGGAGAACTGAGCAACCTTATACYAGTAAATGAAATTCTCCCTGTGTGATGTTAGCATTGTGGAAAGACTTCTAGAAAGCTCCACCTCATCCCAGCTCCTAGGAGAATTTCATTCCAGTTTGAACCTCCAGCGAGGTTCAGCAGATTGGCGCAGTCTGTCCCCCTATTCTCTTCCTGATTTGGGAAGTTCCCAGCGGAAAAGCACTTGCTTGGAGGAATCAGCATCTGCTAGTTCCTGTTTCCTCTTGGGACCATTTCTACAGGGTCAGAGATACCTTTTCTGTTATTATTAGGCAATTTTAGAAAAATAAGAAAAGCTTTAAACTAACTTAGGGAAATGTTGTAATGAGACAAATGAGATCTGGGATCTCCTGTTTCTGGGCCCTCAAGTTACCTTTCTCTGAGTCCTTTCTCTGTAAATGTGTCACAGGAAAGAGTGTTACAGATGCAGATTTTGGTAGTCCCTATGCAAAAAGCAGCACAGTTTTGTGAGTGATGGCATCTTACCTCTGCTGCCTCAGAACCAAACAGCCAGATTGAGTCCTGGACACCATGGGATCTGGGGACTGATTGCCTGGGGCATAATCCCAGCAATCATGGAGGAGGGATGGAGATGTTAGGAGTTGATTCCTGAAAGTGGGTGGGAGTTGAGGACCTGTGGAAAGGATCTGAGTTCCAGTACACTGCTGGGATGTGCCTGAGGTTAATCCTTTAGCTAACACAGACCCATACCATGTCTAGGATAGCACGCTCTATGCCTTAAAGTGTGACTGTTTTAAGGATGAATCCCCCAAAAGCAACACATCTAGAGTTTCCATCTCTCCCCTACCATACCAGGACAGTCATCCATGGTCACAGACACCTGGGCCAGGAAATCAAGCAGTAGGAGCAATCCATGGGCCTGGATAGGATGCTCATGGGAGCATCTCTCCACGACCCTTTTGCCATGAATCCATCAGTGCTTGCTGCTGACTCTGCTGCCACTTGGTAATGGGCTGATGGAGGTGGCATTCTTCTTATTTCTTGACCATGAACTCCATTCCCATCAAACATTATGTACAGCACAGTGACTATGCAACAAGCCATCATGGCCTTGGCAAAATTTGCCTCTAGGTTAACAAAGGAGAGCAAACTGAATGTCAGTCTGATTGGACTATGAACTCTAGAGACCAGGATGGTCCCCCTAGGAAAMTGAGGACATGCAGTACAGCAGGGGTTGCTAAGAGCTGAAAAACACTGATAATTAATGAGTAAGTGCAGAAACATCAGTATTGAGGTCCCATCACAAGAAGTGCCCATTGTAATATCCTGTCTCATGGTTGCTGGATCAAGGCATCTTCAACACTTCACCATAACGGAGAGAGACCTATGAGAGGAAGCCAATGTATCAACTCACACCTTGCTYTCTTTCCTCTTGGGTCAGTCTTGTAGCATGTAGGTAAAGCTGTCTCCAGTCACTGGACCCCGCTCAGCATGAAAGCAGATTGCAGCTTCTGCTACCTTTGGTGGCAGAGTGTGTTTCCTACATTRTCCCCAAAGGAAGGGGCAGAGTGAGAGCAGTGGTGTGCCAATATCWCCTGCCACCCTAATGGTAATGGCAAGAACCAGCCAGCTGGAAATACCAGCTACAAGCTCTGAYTGGGGAGCTTTCTCTGATGTAATCATTCTGAGCCCACATTAATATTGAGGTGATTAGCAAAATGGTCCTCTATGGCAATTCATTAGCATGAGCTCCAGTCAGGAGGGAATCAGTGGAGACGGATGGAGGGCTGTCTAGTTCTTCCCTGGCAGTGTCCCAGAGGGAGTCTGGCACATCTTCATTAGCACTCCTGGAAATCACCAAACCCTCTAAAAGCATCTCCTTTCCATGGCTGTCTGCTCTGCTTCTATCACTCCAGATAACTAAAGAATGCCAATTAGCTCACAGGGGATGGAGATGATGACATCATTAATATTTCAATGTCATTTCTTCTTTGGACACAGTAAAAGCCCTGGGCTGGATCATTTTTGGTAGTGGAAGAACTAAGAGATTCTGCAGAAAGAGGGCAGAGCATGGATTATGGCTTTGAGATCAAAAGTAGCCAAAGAAAATGATGAAGCTTGGGCAGATGGACAAGGTCCAAGGCCCACTGCAGACTCACAGTAGTCTGGGATTTTCTCAAGATTCTCTTTCCATGCAGTATRGTTGTGTCCTATCCTATCCCAGATCCTCAATAGGGAAGCTAATTGGAGCAAGGGAAGGGACCAAGCTAACAATTGTGCAGTGTGTACTACCAGGCACCCCATGATAGAGATCTCATTTTCTTCCACTTTTATTTAGTAGAGTAGATGTATGCAGAGGGCCTGTTCCGGGTTTATTACTACCARGTAGGTGAATGCAACACCTGCTCTTGGGTCAGTCCAATCATACCAGAATCAAGCAAGAGGATCAAGGAAGATGCCTTTTTTTTTTCCTTTTTGAAAATGAAATGCACAAAAAAAAAGATCATAAAAATAGCCATCCCAAGGCAGACAAAGGAACAATCTGTAGCAGTAGGCAGTAGCAKATACGTAGGGTAAAATTATAAAACACAGGACCAAAGTGAAGTTTTCATGGGAAGAGGGCTGTGAGAGATCCTATCCTCCATCCTTCAAGACAGGACGAAGGCTAAACTGTTCTGGGAGATATTAATCTAGTCTGTTTTGGAAGAACCAGAGGGTTGTAAGTCAGTCATAGCCCCTCATAGTCTTCCTTGTTTTCATATTCCCTTTATTAGTTCCAGAATGACAGGAAGAGAAATAATTGGGGTGCRCATCTCCCCTCTGCATTCTCCCTGCAGGTCATCCCGGACTGGAAGGAGCAAGAGTGGAATCCCGAGAAACCTGAGAGCTATGCGGGGATTTTCCACTTCCAGTTCTGGCGCTTTGGTCAATGGCTGGATGTGGTGATAGATGACCGCTTGCCCACACTCCATAATCAACTCATCTACTGCCATTCCAACTCCAAGAATGAGTTTTGGTGCGCCTTGGTGGAGAAAGCTTATGCCAAGTAGGTACCAGGGCAGAAGGAGGGCTCCAGTGACYGCTGTTAGATGTGGAAGACAGTGGGTCTCTACCATTTACAGTGCAAACTAGGACACGGGCTGCCCACGAGTTGTTCTCTGTGCATACCATCAGTGAGTTGGCACCACTGGATGAGGGGTCCAGTGAGWAAATGCTGAGTTCCCACTGTGTCTGATGATGTGTAGGAGTTGCAGGTACTTAGGTATTTCAGATGTTTAGTTACAGGTGTCCAAACTCATCCCTTTTCCTTTCTGTGCATAGTGTCTAGCCAAAAATAGGAACTTCTAGACCATGTTACCTCAAATTCAGTGGCAAACCTCATGAGAAATGACAATCTTATGACTTGCTTTCTTGACAAAACAACAGTTCTTATGAGGATGAATAACATATCTCAGATAGAGAGAAACGGGGAAAAAAGAACATATCCTCTTTCCTTCTTTCAGGTTGTCAGGCTGTTATGAGGCCCTGGATGGAGGCAACACAGCTGATGCCCTGGTAGACTTTACTGGTGGAGTCTCTGAACCTATTGACCTGACCGAAGGGGACTACATCACCGATGAAGCCAAGAGGAACCTCCTCTTCGAGCGCGTGTTGAAGGTGCACAACCGGGGAGGCCTCATCAGCTGCTCCATCAAAGTAAGAAAGATTATCTGTACAATTGTGGGTGTCATTAGAGGCAGCTTGAGGGTCCTGTTGGAAGGACCCCTGCACGTGTGGTATAAAGTCCATCTGCATCTCTGACTGCTTATGCTCCTGTAGATAAAGCTGGAGCCACTTTCATATCTGGCTGCCATTTTATGGGATGTTTCTGATCACGTGATAGTCCCCTTAAAAGGGAGTATTCTGATGGAGTCACATTGTGCTGACATTCTGCAGGGGATGGAAGCTGTATGACCAGATACAGATGTTCTCATTGCAGATGATCCACATTAGAGCTCATCGGGAGGGAATAGGCATTTTAGGATGGAGTTCATTTTATCCTGTTGGAGGTATCTAAAATAAGTCAGATGAATTCTGCCTAGGGGTTCCTATTTGTTTCTATGGGTGATAAAGGCAATCAAGCCTGTTTATTTCTCATTACTACATCCAAGATCCCAGACTCATTCCTTTAAATGCTAGGAAAGGATTCCCTTACAAAGTAAGGCATTTAGATCCCTACAAATGGACATCTCCACAACAGTAGGGGCCTGATCTCCCAGTGTAACCAGTAGGATGACAGTGTGGGAGCTTAGTGATCACATGCAGCAGGTGAAGGCCAGCCAGATAGCTTAGTTTTCTACAGCCACACCAGAGCACTTTATCAAAGCAAAACCTGAAATTCAAAGCTGCAACCAAGACACAAGTAAAGGCAGTTGTGTCCCCCATGCCTGGTGTAAATGCCATCTGTGTCCTCTTGCCCAGGCTACGTCAGCAGCAGACATGGAGGCCCGCCTGGCCTGTGGGCTCGTGAAGGGCCACGCATACGCAGTGACAGACGTGCGAAAAGTCCGTCTAGGGCACGGCCTGCTGTCCTTCTTCAAGTCAGAGAAGCTGGACATGATCCGCATGCGCAACCCATGGGGTGAGCGAGAGTGGAACGGCCCTTGGAGTGACACGTGAGTAGGGCAACAACCAGTGTTATCACCTGTTTTTGGTGCAGAAGGTTGGGATAAAGCAAGCCTTGATGTGTGAGGCAGTTTGTCCATCCRCTCCAGTAGGATACCATGGTATGGACAGTTGTAGGATGCTGCCTCAGCCCATGACCTAGCCCTGCTATTCTGCTTGGGTAGCTTCATCATGGTCCCTTGCATCATGGCCCCTTGAGGGGAGGAGGAGAATATCTGAGCTTGACAAGTTTTCTTCATATCATCGGGACTCTGGTGGGTGTTGTGGTGAAATCACCTGCATTTTCAGTCAAGATGAAGGACGGTTGGAGCTCAGCTTTCCGCTCTCAATCCCATTCCAACCAAAACRGCACCCAGCAGAGTTAGCTTCTCACACCATTGACTGCTGTAGTGTCTGGACATGGGGTGAAGAACCATGAAGGCCATGAGGCTTTGGCCAGAATCACAGCAGCTGTGACACACRAGACAAATGAAACTTGGCTGAGTCAGGTTCAGCTACAGTGGTCAGGAAGAAAATTAAAGTTCCAAGTAATACTGCATTCCCTCTATTTTTGGAAAAATGCACTAAACAAGCAGTGCAGAGACTAGGTTAGATTACACCATCCCTATAGACAAGCYTGTACTCCTTTCTTTGTCCTGAAGAACTGTTGTATGGCAAGAGCTTGCATGGAGGCCTCATGGTCTTGGCAGATCCTGCTAAGACCAAGTAGCCTCTTGAATTGCTGTGTGTCCCCTTACCCTCCTAGTAATGATCCTGCACTATTCCCACAGCTCTGAGGAGTGGCAGAAAGTGAGCAAAAGTGAGAGAGAGAAGATGGGCATGACAGTGGAAGACGATGGAGAGTTCTGGTGAGTCCCTGCTGGCTTTGTCCCCATGAACCATGTCAAGAAAGTTCTCYCACCACATGAGAGGTCACAGTCATTTCCATGCAACCAGTTATCCAGAACAAATGATCAGCCAAGCCTTGGAATCTTTAGTGAAACATTTTCCTTGGGCCCACGGTTAATAGCTTTTGATGGTTGTGATCCTTTTACTATGACACTGGAAGTGTCCTCTGCCAATGATATGAGTGTGCTGAACACAAAAGACTCGCAAGCATGCATTTCAATACAATGTGTACCCGTGTGTGGAGGAATGACCATGCCTTCTCCTCCCACTCCAAAAACATATGCTGCTAGTACTTGAACTGAAGGCGTGGTGTTTACTGCATTCGTGCAGAAAGGTATCTCCATCACTTTTGTTGGTCATCCGCCATCAAAGAGTRCTCCCACATGGTCTTTCCATGGCAGGTAATCAAGAAATTCTCTACAGCATTCTTCCTGGAGGAAGAAAACTGTTCAACTCAGCTCTGTCCCTTGCTTTTTAGGATGACATTTGAAGACTTCTGCAAATACTTCACAGATATCATCAAGTGCCGTCTCATCAACACATCCTACCTGAGCATCCACAAAACATGGGAGGAGGCAGTGCTACATGGGGCGTGGACAAGAAGTGAAGACCCCTTGAAGAACCGATGTGGGGGCTGCATCAACCACAAGGACACCTTTCTGCAAAACCCCCAAGTGAGTCACAGAGCAGAGGGACTTCTGGAGCCCTCACGTGCTTCCAGGGCTGTAAGTCTATTACAGGGACCTAGAATGCCAAAACAGCTACCAGACCTGATGCTGCCTCTGTACTAGTAAATTAAATGTTCTGAGGACAGACAATTCAGCCACCATTCCTGGATTTGCCAGTCTTTTCTAAGATGAACCAAAGGGGTTTCTGGCTTAGTAAGAWGGTGCCAAGTCCTAAGAGCAGTGGGTGCAGGCTCTCAATGCTGGAACTGCAGCCAACTTGTCCTGGTAGTGAAGTGGATGGGGAGAAGCTCAGGTTAACTCCAATCCATACCCATCACAGTGCTCCTGTCTTAGTAGAATGCCTCTCTTATTTTCTTCGTTTTTCTTCTAGTATGTGTTTGATGTGAAGAAGGCAGAAGATGAAGTACTGATCTCCATCCAGCAGAAGCCAAAAAGAACCAGCCGCAAAGARGGCAAAGGAGAGAACTTGGCCATAGGCTTTGATATCCATAAGGTAGACTCTAGTTCCTTCATACTGGCCTGAATCCACACAGTAGATATGTTAAAGGAGGAGTTATACCCCAGTTCTGCATCACAASCAATATCATGCATTTAATCATTATGCTGGTTTTCTGTGGGTACCTTCAGCCTGACTTGCAGTCCTTTAAGTGATGGTAAAGAGGCATATACGTAAAGACTGCATCTGAAGAAGGTTATGGGGATTGGGCCAATGTTCCCTCTCCCTCTTGGTAAAAAAGTAGATCATTGAGGGGAGAAAGAAGGATGGGCAAGAACAGGCATCAACTCCTGACACCTACCTGGGTCAAGCAAAACAGTGGGTTGTGCTCTGGGACACCCTTGCATATACGCTGTAGCTCTTCTCTCTCCCTGYCTCTGAGCACAAGTTCCTGCTTGGACACAAAAGCTTTCCTCTAGTTCACACCTCCTTCAGCTGTTACAGTCCCAAGGAAGGATTACAGTATTCTTTACCAGATCAGAGTTTGAGATGAGAAATCTGTTGGGGGAAAAACTTTTTGTTCTTTCACATTGACATCTCTACAAGCCTGGAGTGTGAAATCATTTGAGCATAATAAGTAACATGAATATGTTGCTGTCTAGTATAATCACATCTGACATTCAAAATTACCAAAGTGGGGAAAAGACTGATGCCCCATCCAAACTCTTCAGCTTAGGAGAGATTTCAGAAATGGATAGTGATAGTGCAGGCAAATTTCCCTATTCAAAGCAATAAATCAGTCTGTTATTTTTGAGAGTGCAAATCCATTAGACTTATTATCTTGTGTTGCTTGCTGGGACCCTGGTGTCTGGTAGGGATGTAACAGAAAAGTCTCTGAGCTAAGAAAGATTCAAACTTGTTCTCCAYCTATTGCGCTCATCCCCTGAACTCCAGCTATCCCAATTGATGTCCCAATCAGTCCTTGCAGGCTGGCCCCCCAAGTTGGGTATCATTATGTGGGTGCTCACCAACACCCTGCTGATGGTCACACTGTGGTGTCTGCTCAGGTTGAGCTGAACAGGAACTACCGGATGCACACCCTGCAGCAGAAAGTGGCCAGCTCCATTTACATCAACTCCCGCAGCGTCTTCCTGAGAACAGACCTGAAGGAAGGCCGTTACGTCATCATCCCCACTACCTTTGACCCTGGTCATGTAGGCGAGTTCCTTCTCAGGATTTTCACAGATGTGCCTTCAGATTGCCGGTAAGGAGCAAGAATGATGGTGGGGAGGATCTAGCCACTTGGAGAAATCCCTGTGCTTTTGACATATGCATGTCCTGTTTGGGATTGCTCATAGTCATGCCCAGAGCTAGCACTTGGCTTCCTTTAATGGAGGGCCAAGAGACAGGACACTTCTATAGCTCTCACCAGAGATATGCAGAGAAGAATTCACACTGCTTCCAAGCATGGCATGGCAGAGGACCCCTCACTTCAGGATGAGAAGGAGCTTGGAAGGGRATACAGAATCTGGTTGGGGATGGTGCATAATCCTTACCTCTCACTGAAGCAAGCTGTCAGGCCTGTCCTCCATGTAAGGCTGAGCACCTCACAAAGTTCTCTCCTCTGGCAGAGAACTGACACTGGATGAGCCGCCACACACCTGCTGGAGTGGTATGTGTGGCTATCCACAAATGGTGTCCCAGATCCACGTCCTTGCTGCAGCTGGGCTCAAGAACCAGGATGCCCAAGGTACATGTTTCCCTGGTTCCAGAGGAGATCTTTTCTTTTCAGCTGGAAAAGATATGGGTGATTTCATCAAATGGGAGGTGGTTGGGATTTATTTGGTCCTAAGATCCTCTTTCATTGAAGGTGTCTGGCTATCATAAAAAGGCTGTAGACTGTTGAACTCTTGGACATGATCTGGCTGTTGGCCAGGACCTAATCTAAGCTGTTGGCTTAGGAGACATTCCCACAGCTTCACAAAGTTATTGACAGTGGTCCTTTAAATACCCAAGCTTACCTACTGAGCGGGAGCAGTTGTAGAAGTCAAAGTAGTTGGAATACAGTGATGTGTGATGGAGAATTCTTCATCTCTGAAGCTGAATTATTGGTAGGGGACAGGTTGAGTTGAACTTGCTGTGGGATGGTGTGGGTCAAGGACCTCTGCCCTTATTTTCTGAATCCTATTCTGCACCTGTCCTTTTGTTTGGAGACACCCTGGAATGATTTTAGCTACTACCAGCAAAGCACACTACTCCTCTTCCTCTCCGCAGTCTGTAAAGGTTCATTTTCATGCTGTATGCTCTGATGCAATTTTGACAGACAACACTTTTCTTGCATGCAAGCCATCTGTACCATGCTGATCTTGACATGTTTTGACATGCCATGTCATGACAAGAACTCCATGTTCAGTCACGAAGAAACCCACTGGCAGTGATGACTTGCACTGTAATATCATTGTAGTAGGGGTGGAAAGTCCAGAGGTAGTGATTAGAGAAGGAAATGCATCTCTGTGATGGGAATGGAGCAGACCCTGGCTTATCTTCCTCCCTCTTCTGAATAAAGCATATGGATTTGAATGTGGCAAGAATTATCTAAGCACTCTTTAGATAAATTTAAAATAATAATTACAAAAAATAGTGAATTATATGTYCACTATTCAAATATATACATTCAAATGTATATATTTACATATTTTAATCCAAGCCTTGCTAGCTTTGCCTCAYATCAGAGTGGTTGTAGAGGCTCCTTCTTTGGAGATCTTCCAAACATGCYAGGATACGACCCTCTGCCACATGCTCTAGGTGTCCCTACCTGAGCAGAGGGGTTGGACTAGGTGATTTCTAGAGGTCCCTTCCAACCTGAAACATTCTGTGATTCTGTGAATCTATGATCACTGGAGCTCTGGAGGTAATAAGCTGGCTCTGTCCTTAGAGAATAAAGCCCCATTTCCTTCCATCAGATGCAACAAATGGATTTGTCCATTTCTGTCTGGTGTTTAAGGTGAAAGGTTGTTTTTTTCTCAGGTTATCCACAATCTCAGTGTACCTGTAAGTGCAGGGAGACTTGCAGGCAGAGCTCTCTGAACTCTTCACRGAAACAAAGGGATTTATCTTTCTATCCTTCAGATATCCCTATATCTCTAAATACCTGCATCCTGGAGCCATAAAATATGATTTCAGGAAAAWGTCTACAAGAATGGCTTTTTTTTTTCCCCGGTTGTATTTCAGCTGTTTAGCTCCCACTACCAGCAGCCTGCCATTTCCATTGTAATTACAGTTTTTCCCATCTCCCAGCCTAGTCCTTTCAGAGTGCTTTGGAAATARTGATTTACAAACTGGAATTTGGCTCCATATGGTGAAATATGAGGATTTCATTGGACATCCCGAAAGACAAGACTAGTTTGGAAAAACAGCTGTGAAATCCAGCTGCTAAGTCTTCCTGAGAGAGTCACGGACATGGCAAGCAGAAATCAAGGAGGTGGTCTGGCAATCAGAGAGGAGGCTGTTGAGTCCCTGGGCTCCAGAATGGGTTATTCGTTCCTCCTTATTCCCACACTGTTCTTGGATGAGAAAAAATATCCACCTGATCTCTGTTTTCCATCATGTTCACTAAAGCCCACAATGAAGAAATGCAGTCTGGTAATTAAATTTCCATTAACAATAACTTATTCTCTACTGAAATTCCCAGCACAATCACTTGCTTCATAAGAGGGAAGCAATGACTAATAAGGGACTCATTTTCTCTCTCTTGGAAAGCCAGGTAACTTCCAGCCACGGTCTGATAGTTTCTGAAATATCAAGAACTTTTTGATAGATACCCAGCTCCTCTGGTGGGGTATGGAGGAAAACTGATGCATGGGACCACTATAAAAGGGCTCCGGGGAATTACTGTGATTAAAACAAAGCATAAATTCCTTTTTCTTTTTTTTTCCACCTCAGGAGCAGATCCTTATGTRATCATAAAGTGTGAAGGGGAAAAGGTTCGCTCACCAGTGAAGAAAAACACAGTGGCTCCAGAATTTGATGTGAAAGGTCTCTTTTACCGCAAGAAGCCAGGACAACCCATCRTTGTCCAGGTACTCAGCAGGCAAGCAATCATCCAGGGAGGTCCCTTCCCTATAGGATGTGCTATACACTATAGTATGTGATAGATGTACAACACTAGAGGAAGGCTGGCTGCAAGAAACTGCCCATGTGTCTCCTTTTTTTTCCTCCCAGGTCTGGAACCATAACTTAATAAGTGATGAGTTCTTGGGCCAAGTGACACTGGCAGCGGATCCCAGCGACCGACAGTCAGTGCACACACTGCATCTCCAGGACAAGGGCAACAGGAGATCAAATGATCTTCCCGGAACGATCGCCGTGAGGCTGCTCAGTAGTAACATCCTCACCAACGTCTAACTACTCAAGGACTCTTCTTCTGGTGCCACATATGTATATTTATACATATATATACATACACACATATATATACACACGCAGAGCATATATACTATCTGCAAGTATATATGGACTATGCATGCATTCTATTCAACAGAGCCAATCTTGTGTTTTCAATGTTCAAAAAATGGTGCCTTTTGGGGGAACCAAAACAATTCTTCGACTCGTGTCTTCCGCAGCTCACGCCACCAACATGTGTCCCGTGGGATCGCTATGGACACACTACGTGTTCTGACAGCCAAAGCAGGATGCCGTGGTGCTGTTTGTTTACATGGGGCTGGCACTCATGTGCCAACACGCACACGTGTGGCCACCGCGTTCCCACAAGGTATTTCTGTGCAACCTCAATGTGTCTGCTTAATTTTAGGCTAGTGTGTGGAGAGTCCTTGCCAGTTCACTTGCTTATCTGTGGAGGCATCTCAGGAAAAGAGATGTGTAAAAAATGGACTGAGGCCTTTGGGTATTTTCTGGGTATGGGTTTGTGCATGGAAAGTGGAAAGAAAAAGCACCAGGACACTTCCACAGCCCCAAGTCTCAATCAACAAGGGAGAACCTATCCTGCTGTCAAAGACTAAAGGCTTCGTCATCATCCCAGCACAAGTTCTGCTCAATTCCACATCTCTCTGAAGATACAAAGCCACCAAGAGACATAGCTGGACAACTGTTCTCCATGGTCAGGTTTTGAGTTGCTCTGGTCTCCTGCATGTGCCTCTCGAATTGCCTTGGTGCCTGCTCTCTCCGTTGCTCTACTCAGTCCTATCCCTACAGATCRAACTCAGCCTTTTGCTGAGTGACCAGTGCGGCAGGTCTGGGGAGTGAGGGGCTTGGTCTAACTGGGCTTAATTTTAAAACAATGCATACATATATCCTAGTGCGTCATTTCTGTGTGCCTCGCTTTCCCAAATTCTTTTAAAAAACAGCTGGATTCTAGTTTATACGAAAGGAGAGAAGAGGAGCACTGCTCCCAATGAARCCTGAAAATGTGGGACATATGTCATTAATACCAATGCCCATCTCTCACTTTTAATTCCTGTCCGATTGGCCTGGAGAATTCACTGTGCTGGACTAGATCCAGGCTCACAAGCACAACCCTAGTGCATCTTCACGGACAGTCCTCCTGTATCCAGGGCCGTGCTGTGTGCCTTGCTTGCAGTGAATACTGGGTTTATCCTGCTTATTCCACTGGGTGGCAGAATCTGGCTGCTTATAAAACCATCCCAGACAGATAAGCAAAACTGCAGACCTTTGGCTGTCCTTTCAATGGCATTTTTTATTTTATTGTTTAGGGATTTTGTTTTGTTTTGTTTTTAATGTGCCTTTAAATATGGTGCAAGTGAAGGGATGTTCTGACAGATGTAAGTGATTTTTATATGAACCAAATCTTCTTCAGCCACCTGCATACAAGGGGAAGAGAGTACACATGATGTAATGCTTCCTGCAAATGGCTTTTTAAAATCAGTCCAAGGCAATCTCAGTAAATTCTTGTCTAAGCAGATTTTGTCTGCAAGGACAAGTGAACACGCATGCCTTCTTTTATCATAGAGAGCAGAGTTTCTGTCTCTCCTACTAAATGTAGTGCATATCTGTGTGTATAAAGCTGTTCTTTTTCCTTTTTTTTTTTTAATTCTGTGAAGATATGCTAAGTCTGCAAGATGATCAGTTGTTCTAGAAAATCACGCTAGCTGCCAGTTCAATTCTTGGTGCATCAAGAAGTGCTCAGTACAACTGAACGGATTTTGGCAGGTTCCCCTTTCCTCATGTTTGGAATTTTGGTGTTCACCTCATGTGGGTATGAATTAGGTTGTTGACCATATTGCTCATTTTCTTAGGTCTTATAGGTCTTACAGAACTTAGAGGCAGGCAGTGGCTAACAGGATGCCTTTTTTTCCTAGATTGTGTTGAGGCACCTTCTGTCTCCTGTTGCCATTGTGGGAATTGGATCATTTTGGCAGCTTTCAGAACTGGCTCAGATGCACTCAGTTTGGTAAAACAATATCTTGAGCCCTCCCAAGGTCAAATCAAATCCTTGAATTCGGGAAGCTCTCTAATTGAGAATTATTTTGAATTGATCCCATTGCTTTGGGGAGGTCTCATTGCTGAAAATACCTTAAAGCAGCACCAAGGGGCCAAAAACAATGTCTCAGATTTATGGACCAGAGACTCTGTCTTAGGAGAAGAGCTCACCAGCTCATGCCCATCATGAAAAGTGTGGGGGAATGTGGTGCCTATAAATACCTCACCTGAGAGGAAAAAGAGMTATTTAGATGTGTTCTCATTCCCAGTGCAGGAAAATTTTGAAGTTCTCTCCCAGCTCTTCCAGCTGCTTTTACAGAGACAATGTGGGGAGACGCTGTGATGGTAGATGCCGGGGCACCCTCAACCCAGAGGATCTTGTGAGAAACCATACCATGAACATCCCTAGTTGGGCAGGCTGTAAATTTACCTCAGAGGAGATTATTAATTCCAGCTGAAGTTTTTCCTGCATTGAGGGCATTTGTAAGTCTCATTCTCCTATAACATTTTTTCATCTAAAAGCAGGCTCACATTGCAGCCTTTTCCCTGSTTAATGCACAACCTCTGGTGCCAACTCAGCTGCTCAATATACGCATCTTTGAGAAATCTAAACCTCTGAGAGCTTGATTCCCTAGCAAAATGAGCTGAAATCAACCTAAAAAGCTATTGTGACAAAGATCAATGATGCACCATCATAGGYAGATAAATGTAGCCAGTATGCCTGCATTAGCCTTGTTTTCTCAGGAAATCAGGCTATCGATAGCTTCAGCTAGAGCCATTTGGCCAAGGAGTGTCCTTACTCTTGTCATGCCGCACTTAAATCCCTGAGGACCAGAGCTGAAGCTCACTGAGGATTCRCTAATAACCATGGCCAGACTCCTTCCTACTTACAAAGAATCAAGCCATAATGAGAGGAAAGGCAGCTTTTTTAGTAGCCCTTTTATATATATATAAAAAGATCATATTATATCAGGACCAAAATGTCTTAATATTAATAATAGTTGTGTTCTTTTTTTCCTCTCTGTTTTTTTTTTCTCTTAAAAAGGAAAACTTTAACTTAGGACAGAAGCCTTCTTTTTCCCTTTCATTTCCAAGGGCATAACAAAAATTGCCTTTGTTGTATATCTCTTTGTCTTGTTTTTAAAGCAGGTTGGGGAAGGCAGTTATTGAAATTGCTAATGTTGATGTCTTTTCTATTTCAATTAAGCAAAGAGAAATATTCAAGTCTTTTTATCTGAAGGAAGAGAGGATCRCTGTCTGGTCCCCTCTAGATGGTACAGGATATGTCTCTGATTTATTGCCTGTTTCTTTCGTTAATCATTTCATTAATCTCAAGAAACCTGTCATTGCACTCCGTTAAGTCTTTTTTGTGACACATGCGTGTTAAAACGCTATCAACATGTCTTCATCTCCAAAGGCACTAAAGTGTCACGCTACACAAGATCAGAGAGTGGTCAAAACAGAAAGCCAACATTGTACAGCTGTAAACCTCCTATAAATAAATTGTGTATATTTTATTCAGACTCCATCCCTTTAAACTGCTGTGTTCTCCTCAAAAGCCTTTGATGACTCTGCAGGGCCCTTTTATTACTTGATTCAGTAAACTCCATTTGAATGATTTTCTCTGCAGCAGCAAGGAAAAGTGCATGAAGGTTTCATGCAAGGTTACCCCTTCATGTGTTCACTCACCATGGGGCAAAGCCACGGGAGGGAAAGGGTGACCTCATGTGGGTGTAAACCCTGTGCATCCCATGCTTCAAATCAGCTTGGCTTGGATGGCAGGGACAGTAATACCCTTATTTGTCTCGTAAACCATGGTGGAAAGTATGTCTGAGCCATGGACAATAGTTAATGTAGAAGAAAGGATATTCTGGTCTGGTGATGTCATCAGGTAAGTGGCACTAATATCTACCTTAACATCTACAGCCTGTCCTGAGGATCCCCAAAGCTGGCAAAAGATATCCAGAGACACTTTTATAGTTGTAGGGTAGGGGCCATTTTCCTGCTCCTGCAGCTCTTCATGAATTGAAGTTCATGCCCAAACATTTAGGAGAAGGAGATAAAGAAAGACACCGCACCCTTTCTCAGCCTCCATCACTTAAATATCAAGATAAATCATCGGGGGGGGGGGCGGGAAAAGAACCCTTGGTTGCTAGCAGGAGACACACATCTCACATCTCACATCTAAGTTTTGCTGATACTGCCTGCTGGACTTTTCCTGCAAGACTTGAAAGTGTTTGAGAATGGGTCTATACGTTCCCATACTGTCACTGAAGCTTGATGGTGCACAACCATACGTAGGGCTGTCAACCTCTGCAGAGGTACTGGAATTAGTGTGAGGTCCCAAGCACACCAGCGCATCAGCACAGAGACATGGGCAGCGCTCACACACCGAGAACCCAGCAGAAGGAAGGTGGACCACAGGCTCCCTGAGGGTCCTACATCATCTCATCCTTCCAGTATCTGCCAACATTTCCGCTAACTRATGTGTAAATAATTAAGGCAACTGGCTTTTGAGGGCCTCCTTGCAACTCCAGTATTGTCTTCAAGGAGGAACATCCTGCATTGACCACAAGGTGGAGTAGGAATACTTCTTGGCCCTCCATCCCGTGCAGCCTGCATCTTCCCCATGCCAAGGTCCTCACCCCATGTGGGTTCCCCTCACATGCRTATCTGCTCCAGCCACTCCAGAGGATCAAGGATTATCAGCAAGCAGGGCTGCAGAGGGAGCAGGGCTTTGAGCAAGGGGATGATCTTGTTGCCTCTCTCAGTACTCCTCAGATGCCCAGCCACCACATCTCTGGCTAACGTCCCAGGTATTAAATACCCAGGGATTACTGGTAACCTACAGCTGGGACAGCCTATGCTCAGTAGTTGTTGTCCAAGGCTCCTCGTGCTAGCTAAATCCCTCCTCCAAATCAAGCAGCACATGCAGATGAGCAGCTCCAGCACTGTGTCCCTGGCAGAGCCTCTAGTCCCACGTGCCCATGGCCACCAGGCTG